TCCACCCCCTCTCTATCTCTCTGTCCCCTCCTACCTCCCCTCCCCCCCCTAAGGGTCTGTCAGAGGCCCCCCCCCCCCCCGCCCCTCGAGAGTCTCATACAGTCCAGGCTGATCTCAAACTGTGTAGTTGAGGTTGTGAGCTCCAGATCCTCCTGCCTCCACCTCCTAAGTGCAGGGGTTATAATAGCACCCCTGCACCTGGCTGCAGGGCAGTGGAGGTGTCCTCTTGCTCCAGGTCACCCAGTTTGTAAGGGCAGGGCCAGAATGAGGCCCCAGGCTTCTGTCTCACTTGAGTGCTTTCCTTTGTCCCCTTTGTTCTTTTCTTTTTTTAAAGATTTATTTTTATTTTACATGTATGAGTGTTTTGCCTGCATACCTCTAAGCACCACCCATGTGTGCAACACCTACACAGGCCAGAAGAGGGTATCAGATTTCCTGGAACTGAAAATATGGCTGGGTGTTAGCTGCCATGTGGGTGCATCTCTCCAGTCCCTGTCCCCTTTGTTCTTAAAAAAGAAACAAACAAATGCACAGTCTCCAGTGTTTGGGAGAACACTAACGACACCTGCAGGTGTCTCCTGAACTATGATACACACATATGACACATACATCTCTGCAGGGATCTGGGAAGGAGAAGCTCTCCCAGATCCTGGGGCACAGGCCATGGATGCTAATGAGGAGGCGGAGCCCGGGTGGGGCCTTGAACCTCACTTTCAACTCCTGGGGAATGGGCGCATGCAGGTGCAGCCGCGCGCCAGGCGGGGGAGCCCGTGAGCCGGGAGGGGACAGAGCAGGAGGCGGTCCGAAGACCGGGAAGTGGCCGGACTGGGGCGTGGCGTGGGGCAGAGCCCGGTCTGGTCAAGCCGTGGTCGCAGAGGCACGGACGCAGCGGCGGTGGCGCGGTGGCGACAGTAAGTGTGGGCCAAGGATGCGCGGCGCTCCCCAATCTTTGTTCAACTCTCTGCCTCCTCCCGGAGACACGACCTCACTTTCTGGAGGCCGAGCTTGGCCTGCCAGCCTCTCCCTCTCTGGTCCTGCTTGGGGACAGGTTAGCCTGAAGGATCCGGAAGGCTTTGCCGGTTCAAACTGGGCCGCCTGTGGCCAGGATGCCTCAGCTGCGAAGGCGATTCTGCTTGCTCGCGGGGAGGGCTGTCCCCGGGACTCAGTTTCCCTGCCCCCCAGCCTGTGTCTCCATGGGGCCATCGAAGCACACAGAGAGACTGCTTTAGCCAGTCAGGACCTTCCTGGCATGGCCCCCAGGCTTCCTGGTCTCCAGACCCCCACAGTTTTGGGCTGTTTTGTATGTGACTGACCTTTTGTCCCAGTAACCCAGGCAGGGGCAGGGCCAGCCAGTCCTGGAGAAGCTCTCGCTGCCTGTCCTTTCTTTGTCTTTCTTTTTTAATCCAAAGTCATCAACTAGCTTTTATAAAGAGTAATAAGAGTTTGCTCAGTCCACTGCACTGCCTATGACCTGGTTAGAGAGAATTCCTGGTTCCTTCAAATGCTTGGTCAAGGCTGAATGGTCCTTGATGAATAGATACAGTAGGTGAGAAGGGGTCCTGACCCTCTGTGGGTTTGGGTGACAAGTGCTGTTCCCTGCACCCACCCTGCTAGCTAGGACATCTGGGAACAACTTGCCAGTTCTCAGTTGACCTCTGTGGCTCATGATTTCTTTTTAGATTTATTTTGCATACATATGCCTGTCTGTGTGTGAACAAGAGTACGGGTGCCCACAGAGGCCAGAAGAGGGCATCAAATCCCCAGGAGCTGGAGTTACAAGTGGTTGTGAACTGCTGGCCTTAGGTGCTGGCTCTGTTGGGAGAGCAGTACTTGGCTCTTAACCACTGAGCCATCTCTCTAGTCCCTTTTTACAATTTTCTTAACACTAACTTTTAAATATGTGTACATGTGTGTACATCCATGCATGCCAGGTCTAGTTAGATGATATCTTCTGTCTTCTAGGGAATCAAGGCTGTAGAGGGGCCCTGCGCAGCCCTAGGGAACCGAGGCTGTAGAGGGTTTAAAGTAGGCTCTCTGACAGGATTCTATAAAGCCTCCTGCTTCCTGGCCTTGGGGCACAGCTGTCTGTGTGATCTTGGAACCAACAAACCATCTCTGAGAGGCTCAGGAATCCCCAGGGTGTTCCATACTCCTTGGCTGTTTAGTTTCACCTATTGCTGTGTGACCCTGGACAAGTGGCTTGACCTTCCTGAGCTTCAGACTTGTTATCTATGAAGTGAATCTCAGAACAGTACCTAACATTAAGCTGCCATGCCTCATATACAAGGTATGACCTTGGCATTCTAACGTACAGGAATGTTTCTTTTTCCTTTCATTCTTTTTAAGAGTCTCCCTATAGCCCTGGCTGGCCTAGAACTCACTATATAGACCAGGTTGTCCTAGACCTCACAGATCCACCTCACATGACTCTGCCTGCCTCTGCCTCCCCTGTGCTAGGACTGATTGCATCACCACACCCAGCCTAGTACTGAAAGTGTTTGTTTGTTTGTTTTTGAGGCTGGGTCTCACCTGCCCAACTTTGCCTTGAACTGTCTATGTAGTAGAGGCTAACCTTGAACTCCTGACCCTGCTGGGATTACTGGTGTGTGCTATCTTTCCCATCCTAATTTGATGATTGAACAGCTAATTTACATTGTTCAAATTCAAAAGGCACACAAAAATAAAATAAGCCATTTTCCCCTCCCTGTCTCTGTCTCCCTCTCAAAGACACCCACCGTTGGAGGTTTCCGGTGATGCTCTCCCACCCCACCCCCACACCCTTTACACAAAATAACTGTGTCATAAACTTTTTGCATAAAGTAAAAAAGAGCTTAGAGCTCACTCTTTGCCCATCAAGGGTCCTGATCCTGAGAAATATGACTGCCATTAGCCCAGGCTTGCTTTTCTGCACAGCTTGCTGCAAGTCCCACCTGCCACTGTTCACACTGCCTTGTCGCACTTGTGTGCTGCCTGTATTGTCCTTGCACAGTTGGGTTGACCTCTGAGGTCACCTACAGTTCTGGTAGCCTGTCCTCCCAGGCTAACTTTTGTCTTCCTTCCTAATCCTTAAACCCCAGGCTCTCCAGCCAGGCTCTGGAGATGAGTATACCCAACACGGGCTAGAGATGTCTCTTAGGACAGGTCAGCTCCCAGCCTCCGTGCCTGCTCACCTTCCCTGTCTGTCTCTCTCTACTCCTGCAGTGGCTGTTGTCTCAGAGGATGATGTGTACCACAGCTCAAACTCCACCTACAGAGCCTCGAACAGTCCGCACAAAGCTGACCAGGAGGCCCTGCTGGGGAAGCTGCTTGATCACTCAGCCCCTGGCCTGCAGAGGCCTGAAGACCGCTTCAATGGCACCTATATCATCTTCTTCAGCCTGGGCATTGGTGGCCTGCTGCCCTGGAACTTCTTTGTTACTGCCAAGGAGTACTGGGCCTTCAAACTCCGCAACTGCTCCAGTCCCGCCTCAGGAAAGGACCCAGAAGACACAGACATCCTGGTAAGGGCCTGTTTCTCTCACAAGGGGAGCAAGCAGCTAGGGCCATCCTTGGCTGCACCTTCAAGGGAAGGCCTCTGAAAGCTGAGAATATAGGTGTAGGTCCAGAAACTGTCAGCTGAGGCACAGTAGAAAGAATCCCGTTTTGCCCTGAGCCCTGTGTTGTGTGGTACCCAGACTTCAAATGTCTCTGGGGGTGAGAGAGAGGGAGTTAGGAGACAGAGTCCCAGACTTCAGATTGTGTGTCACTGAATTTCAGAGGAGGACGGAAATGTTGTTTCTGTACAGCTAAGATGGTACACCAAGAACAGTCCTTGCCTCCAGGAATCTGAAGATGTGGTTCTAAGAGCATTAAGTCAGCTGTGAGTTACAGAAAAGTCTAAAGAGCTAAGACAAGGTGGAAAGTCATTTTTCTCCCTGGTTCACCTTTGGGCAGGTGGGCTGCTTTACTATGTGTAGCTCTCATGGCACCTCACAGCCCAAGATGGCTGCTGGTCCTCCAGCCATTATTACATCTGTAAGAAGATGGAAGAGGAAAAGCAGGAAAAGCCTGTTGCTAGTAAGAACACTTCCTGGAAGTTGTACCTCCCTTCTGTTTACATTGTATTGGTCAGAAGACAGTCACATGACTACACCAGCCCTTGGGAAGCCTGGGAAATGTAGTCTTGCGTGGTGGCACGCACCTGTAGTTCCAGCACCTGGGAGGCAGAGGCAGGTGGATCTCTGTGAGTTCAAGGCCAGCCTGGTCTATATAGTGAGTTCCAGGACAGCTGGGGCTACAGGGAGACCCTGTCTCAAAAAGACCAAAAATAAAATTTTTTTTTTATTTTAATTTTTTGTGTATGAGTGTTTTGCCTCCATGTATATAAATGTGCCCCATGTGTGTGATGCCCACAGAGATCAGAAGAGGGTGTCAGATGCTCTGGAACTGGAACTGTAGACGGTTGTTAGTCACCATGTGGGTGCTGGGAACCAAACTCAGGTTCACTCTAGCCAGTGCTCTTAACCACTGAGCCAGCTCTTCAATCCCAAAATGTAGTCTTTTTGTGTGTTCTGGAGCTTGAACCCAGGGCCTCACACATGCTAAGTATGTTCTTGGTTACTGAGACAGACACATATACACAAAGCTGTCAGATACAGTCTTTAAGCATAGTTTAGTCGTAGAGAACCATGTCCCTACCAAATTGGAGGCTCTGTAGATAGGAAAGACAGAGTTTTCTGTGGCCAGGAGCACAGTACCACAGGCCAGGGGAGTGGTAAGACTTCTAAGGAAGCAGGGTTGTTTGGCTCTTGGTTCTGACCCAGGGTTGGGAGGCTGTGTGTAGAGATGGCTTTCTTGTCAGCACCATCCTCAAGAAACACAGGGAATCTGACAAGGGACAGAGAGCATGTGTATCTGTAAACCTGGTCTGTGTGTAACCCTGGCTAGCCTGGAACTCCATATATAGACAAGGCTAGCCTCAAACTCAGAAATCCGCCTGCATTTGCCTCCTAAAAGTTGCCATTAAAGGTGTGTGTCACCATGCCTACCTCTCTTTTTATAAAGCCACCAGGATTCAGCTCTGGGACTCCACTCTGTAGCTAATCCTAATCCTTAACCCAGGCCACCTTCTAAACTCCGTAGTTGGATTCAATGTCTATCCTCTTAATCCCTCATGATGGGGAATGTGTGCATTGGGAAGCTTGGTGGACACTGAGACCATATGCCAACCATAGCACAGGAGGAGTGAGACCTTGGGGATATGGGGTCTTGAGAGAAACCCCAGTGTCCCGGAGCAGGTAGATTTGAACGGTGGGAGAGAAGGCACTCCCAGAAGGAGGAGCTAGCTGTCTCTGAATCCTTTGACTTATTTCCCTGCTTTGACTGTGGGCCAAAGTCTTCTGTAGGTCACCCCAGCAACCTCCGTGATGTGCTGTTCTTGTTATAGCCATAGGAGAGAGCCATACCTCCACAGGGGTAAAATTCAATGCCCAGTAGTGGTAGAGGGCTCAGAGGGGCCTGACCTTATCTGGTGGAGAAATCTATCAGCTGTTCTGCAATGACTCTGGGCCTAAGAGGGCTGACTTTTCTCACCTGCACTCGAGTAAGGACAGCCAACTCTGAGGCATACCAGCCTGGGAGGCTGCCACCTAGCTGAAGGTACAGAGGGATGTTTGCCTTTTCTAAGACTTCACACTAACACCAGTCACTGCTTACCTCTCTGACCCCATATGGATAAGATGCCAGGGAGGGGGCCATGTCTGCACATCTAGGGATTCACTGGTAGTTGCAGGACCTGAGCACAGGCTCTGATTCATCTATGTAGCTGAAGAGGCTCTAGGGACAGAGCTCAGTGGCTTAGAGTCCTGTGCGCCCCCTACCCCGCCCCCGACTCCCCATGGGACCATAGGTACGCCAGGTCCAGCACCCTCCAGGTTCCAGATCATAGAGTCAGGGCCTACATTTTCCCAGGGTGGGTAACTGTAAGATACACTTTCAGTATCTCTGACATCATTTGGGGCTGGCCCCACTTTTTGTTTGTTTTAATTGCATGTTCATTTATTTATTGTGTGTATATGTATACATGCATTGTGCTTGCCTCAGTGTGACAGTGAAAGTCATAGGACAGCTTGCAGAAGTTGGCTCTCTCCTTCTACCATGTGGGTCCCAGAGATAGAACTCAGGTCATCAGGCTTGGCAGCAGACACCTTTACCTGCTGAGCCATCTTGCCGCCCCCAGCCCCACTCTTTTATGGACCCATGATTCAAGCGTTCCAGTCTTCCGTGGGCCTCACTGAATCCCCAGCCCATTGGACTTTCTCCAGAATCTCTCTACCTGTCTATCCATCTGTCTGTCTCCCCAGGCCAGGGTTAGGCTGTGTGTGCACCTGTCTCACTATCCCTCGTCTGTCCTCAGCCCTGTTTGTTCTGAGGGGCTGGAGTGCTCCAGATCATCCCAGCTGCAGGCACTTAGTGTTCCAGGCCCTGCCATGATTCTTTATTGCCTCTCTCAAGCGCTGGCAGGTGTGGATGTAGTACCTGCCTGCTGCCCGCAGCTCCTGGCTCTTGGCATCAGAGATGAGAGACCTGTCACCCCTCGATTCATGGGCCGGGCTGGGGAAGTGAGCGTGCTGAGGCCTTTCTGTGTCTGGCGGGGCTGTTTTTCTTCCACTCATCCTCACTTGTGCCTCCTACCTCCCTAGTTCTTTCCACATCTTGCAAATATCCCCAGTCTGCCCTGTGTCCTGAGAACTGCTGGGGGAGGAGGGGAGTCTAACGGTCCTGTCTCCCACCGCCACCTGCAGCTCAGCCGGATTTGGCCCAGTAGGATTGTTGACAGCCCTCTCCCCTTTATGTCACCTTCAGTGCCCCTCCCCAGGCGTATTTCCTTCTGCCTACTATAGGTCTGGAGATGGCTTAGAAAACCTCTAGCTTTCCCTGCCCTCTTCTCTTTGTTCTCCAGAATAAATTCCTCAGATAAAGCCATCATGACCTAGGGTCAAAACACCAGAGCATAAACAGAATAATTGATATGAAAACATGGCTGGGAGGCAGGGGAGCTGTGAGGGAACCCTTTCCAGGGTTCATCATGCTGACGGGTGACACAGACTTCCTCTTACCAGCCTAAAAGGTCAGAGTAATCCCCAATACCTCCCTCCCTTTCTTTTGAGACAGGGTCTTCCTGTAGCCCCAGCTGGCCTGGAACTCACTATGTAGACCAGGCTGACCTCAGTCTCACAGAGATCTGCCTGCTTCTGCTTGCTGAGTGCTGGGATGAAAGTTGTACACCATCATGCCTGGCAAAAACCATTCTTTTGAGACAGAAAACCAAAGGCTCAGATAGGCTAAGCAACCTGCCCAAAATCACATTGAGGCAGGGCTGGATAGTTTCATGGGCAATTTAGGTGGGTAGATAGATGATCGCAAAACTGGGCATGCTCAGAGAGTGCTGTTGTGGGAGACTGTTATGGACATAGACCCAGGTCACATTCTGATGGTCTTTGACCTGGCCTCCTTTTCTGACTCAAAGCCTGGGTGCCTGAGTTCTACTCCTGGGCCCCACCACTGCTCCCAGGTGGTCAGGGTGTCTAATCTGCCCCCACTCCTGTGTCTGGGGTCTTGCTGGGCTTCCTTTTCCCCGGGGAGGGACTCCTCTCCTGCCCTCAGCCCCTCCTACATGCTGGATGGGCTTCCCTGGGCCAAGAATAGCACACTGAGTTCAACAAGCCCCTTTTTTACCAGAGAAGGGAGAGTGATGGCACATATCCCTGTTTCCTGGCAGGAAGTAGAAGCTTCTCACCCACGGGAACCCCTAGCTGCTACCCACAACACCACAGTTTCCATATCTGGGTCCTCAGAGCCCCAAGTGCATCTCCGTCCAGGTCTCAACAGGCAGTCTGGCATGCTGAGCCAGCTGTGGGGACCATGGCCCCCACTTTAGCTACTTTATCTTACCAAGCCTCCAGCACCTGGGTACAGCAGGGACATAAGACCCAAATGACCAGGGAAGAGTGTCTCCCCCACTTGCATCGCCAGCTCTCTGGACATGGTACGCACAGCTCTTACTGAGCATCAGGCATGTACCCAACACAGGGTGACATGTCACAAGGATATATGGTCTTAGTTATCCTGTGGTTTGGAAGTAAAGCTTCATTCACTAATCTAAGATAGAAGGAAATGGGCTATAGGGGAGCAGAAGGTCTGGGGGTCCCAGTGACCCACCACCAGAGAACTGCGAAGTTTTCAAATGGGTTAGCATAGACATCAAATGGGGTTTCTCCCTAGAGAAGGAGTCCAAGGTGACCTGGTTCAGCCTAGAGCTTCCTCTTCCCCTGTTTACAGCCCCCAATCCAGCCCCAATCCCTTAGCCCCAAAAAGAAGCAGGATAGCATGACTTGAAAGCCACCCTTATAACTAAAGGCAGGCACCTCTCTCTATGGGAAAGGGTTAAAAGGAACCAGGATGAACTGGCCTCTAAAAGAGGAAATTGAAGGATGGGTTATTATAGAACTCCATGGGGATC